GTCCTGTTAACGGCTCAAACTTCGCCGCGGGCAATGCGCTGATTGCCGCTGGTCTACTGTCCATGCTGTACTTTATCGCTAGGTCAGTGGGCCTGAGGGCAGACGCCCCGTCCGGGCTGACATCATCCTCGTGCTGCAGCCTGGTCCTGATCTTCCGTGCCCCGGCTCACTTCCTGATCTCGGTCATGATGGACGCGATCGTCTTGGGCATCTTTTTCATCTTCTTCCTCGGTGTGTCAGCTTCTTCCTGTATAACGCTACGACCGAAGCTGACGAGAGCATCTCAGCATCAACTGCTGCCCTCTCCACCGAGGCCAGCTTCTTCTCCCGCTGGAACAGCACGGACACCTGGGCCTCGTAAGCATCTTTGACCTGTAGCGAGCAGACTGAGACCAGCTTACCACGCCTTGGCCGGATACAGCCTCGGCAGCGCCGCCGTTGGTCTCGGATGGGTCATGACGTTCCTTGTGAGCTTTACTTTCCCCTACCTGCCGAACCCTTCGCTCACATCGCTCAGGTCCTGGGCATCCTCCTCTTCGAGGTGGTTTACACTATCATGCACTTCGGGCGAGATCGAGCGACATGGAGGACCCCGTTTAATCAGCTTGCCGCTTACGGCTCGCCGTCCACCGGGTCTGCCTCAACGGCTGTACCTATGAGTACTGTCCCTCCCAGTGAGTGGCTACTTGCCCATATTCTGTGAGGTCAGCACAGGCGGGCTGACATTAGGGCTTCAGGCGGGACATCGGGAGCGACGACTCAGCAGGTGTCGACTGCTCCGGCACCGGCCGTCCAGTCAGCCGTGTGAGCCTGTTTCTGGCAAGATGAATCGCTCCACTCCTACTATCTCACCAAGCCTTGACAAGACTATATGGCGCTTACTTATAGGGGGTTACAACAGAGACAAGGATGCAGCCAATTGTTGAACGATGCCAGCTTCATTCATACACCAAAGCATCACGTTCACGCGGTCAGACCTAACCCTTCCAGGACTCGGGAGATGAGTACGGGAGGAACTGCAGCGCGTCAGCTGGCTCTTGATCTGCACCCAAACGCACCTTGCCATCGAGGGTAATGACCACTCGATCGCCCTTCGGGTCTGGCTTCCTCTCTAGAGAGGTCCGGAAGTCTACCGAGATTGGATCAGCACGCATGGCATTTAGAGAAGGACAATGCTCACCGATAGCAGACATGATACCGTCGCCAAACTGCAAGTCGGATGTCAGTCTGACCTGAAGACGTCTCAGGTGCGCTTACCTTCTCTTGAATGAGAGCCTTGTAAGAGAACCCGTAGACTATGAGCACCTCGTATAGCCGGTAAAGTACCGGGTCCTGCATAGAGCTTCAGCACTCGCTCACACACCTTTGCACCCGAACGCACCTTCGGGGGCAGCTCAATGGCGCCTCCCCGGGTAACCATACCCTGAACACCCATGTTACCCTCTCCCTTCCCGGCGAGACCGTTCACCAGCCTCTCCTTGGTCAAGGCCACCTGCTCTGGCTGCTTGTATTCGGCGTTGTACTTTTGCAGAAAGTCGTCCTTGCCCAGCACGTCGTATATAGCCTGTGCGGTCTTGTCATCGGTAGTAGCCTGTCCGTAGAACAGGGCAGTCGTCCATACTTCTGGGCGATCAATAGACTTTGCGATCTCTGCAAAGGTGAGACCGCTCAGGGTCTTGGCCACGAGCAGGGCGGAGCAGTGAGCGGGTAAGTCGAGCATTACAAGAACGGTGTTGGCTGTGAAGATGAGAGGGTGGACCAGCTGTAATGACCGGCTATATATGGCTCGAACTCTCCGCGGTTATCTCATGGTTTCATATGCCGAGTCATGTGGTCGACCTCCACCGGGGAGTGCAGTGGGTAGGTTTACATAATCACTCAGATGATGACGGCGGTCGCCACCGAGACGTGTTTACGATGACATGCTGAGCTGGAAGGTGGGTGATGTTCAGTGATACTTTTGCACCTGTCCAGTGAACGCGTACAGCTGGCCTGGAGGTTCTCTGCGGGTCGCAATATTCACACACCACCATGCGAGTCGCTCCACTCTTCGCTCTACCGGTCCTGCTCCTCGCTGGCTCTGCTTTCGCCGAGTCTTCTCGCTCCGCCAGCGACATAGCGAGCGATGCTGGCCGACTGCTAGCACAGGGAAACTACCTCGAAGCCGCTAGAGCTTACGGCGAGGCCATAGGTGAGCTGTCACGGCTTGTATGCTGGTCTCAGCTGACCTCGCTACAGACCGCGATCCCACCAGCTATGTCAACTATTATAAACGAGCCACGGCTTACCTGTCTCTGGGAAGGCACAATGCCGCTCTGGACGACTTTGACCATATTCTGCGGATAAACCCCGCGTTTGCTCAGGTAAGTCGGCGCCATCTTCGGCTCTGGGCCTTGACTGAACATATCCACAGGCCCACCTGCAAAAGGCCAAAATACTGACCAAGGAGGGCGAATTTGACAAAGCTCAGAGCGAGCTCAAGGCATATGGGAAGAGCAAGAGCGATACGGAGTCGAGCGAGCTGGTGAGTCTTTTTGTCTGACGCTGGCCCCTGCTGACGGTCTCTAGGCTGAATCCGTCTCGCTTGGATCCGCGGCCAGCAAGTCCGCACACAAAGCTGCCCAGAGTAGAAACTGGGCAGTGTGCGTTGACCACTCGACTAAGGCGCTGGAATTCGGACCCAATAGCAAGGACCTGCGAGAGCTGCGTGTGACCTGCGCGACAGAGCTGGGAGATTCTCAGGCGGTCTACGGGGATCTCACGTGAGCAATCTATGCGTGGACATTGAACATCAGTTGACACAACCCCTAGTCGCTTAGCATCGCTCAATCCGTCAGCCATCGATCTTCCCATGCGCCTGTCACATATCGCGTACTTCCTCCTCGCATCCGAGGCCGCCACGGCACACATCAAGCAGTGTTTGCACTATGATCCAGACTCAAAGCCATGCAAGGCTGTACATCGTATGCTGCGGCGGCTGGAGAAGGACACGACCAAGGCGAGGAACTTTATCGACGGCAACGAGTACAGGAAAGCCATCAAGATATTCGAAGGGGATGACGGGCTTTTGTCTCGTTTTGACCAGGCATTGATCGAGGCGACGCGGGCCCACGACGATCAGCCGGCTTACCTTCCCTCGCAATTTGACCCGGTCGCTAAAAGTCAGATGAGGCTGGAACTATACGCCCTGGCATGTCGCGCAGCGGTCGGCGCGAATGACTTCAAGAAGGACAAGGGGGCCAGATGGTGCGAGACCACGTTGGAGATGGATGGGGAAAATGTGGATGGACTGGTGGCTAGAGGCGAGAGACTGCTGAAGGACGAGAGCTGGGATGAGGCGGTCAGAGTCTTCGACAAGGCCTTTGAGAACAGCGGAAGGTCGCGCGAAGATGTGAGTGTGACCGTTGTGATCGGTGGTTCCTGCTGACATTGTATAGATCCGAGGCCGACTGCAGAAGGCACACAGGCTTCTGAAACAGTCCAAGCAGAAAGACTATTACAAAGTTTTGGGAGTGCCACGAGATGCTGATGAGCGTGCAATCAAGAAGGCTTTGTACGTTGGGACCGCACCATTACATCGCAGGGCTGACCAGATCGTTCAGCCGGACCGCCGCCAAGACCGCTCATCCCGACGTCGGTGGATCCGAGGAAAAGATGGCTGCGCTCAATGAGGCGTACGAGGTTCTGTCGGATACTGGTGAGTCGTGAAAGTCCCATCCCAGACCTAGTCTGTTGACCATATAATGCAGAGCTGCGCCAGCGTTATGACAACGGCGACGATCCTAATGACCCTCAATCGGGGCAAGGCCACAACCCGTTCGCTCATCATGGCGGAGGTTTCCCCCACTTCTTCCAGCAGGGATTCCAGCAAGGCGGTTTCCCCGGCGGTTTCCCGGGAGGAGGGCAGAAAATGCACTTCCAATGGGGATAGAGTATTTCTTAGAGCATGCACCGCATGGCTTAGCTTTCGGCAGACCTGATTGGTGCCTTCCCCGAATATTGCTCTTCGAAGGAGTGCCTTCGCCCGGACTCATCTTGTCATTTCATATCGTGGAGGTCGGCACTGTAGATAAAGGCCAGTGCACCAATGAACCATGTCTAGTAAATTAAGTAACCTGTGAGCATTCTCAGTGACTCGCGAGCGGTCATTCTGGAGAGTATGCATGCACATCTGTCGCTGTGTGCAGGATGTCTCATGCAAGTCGACAGCCTGTCGGGGGTGAGACAAATTGACGAGTGCTGCGCTGACCTGCCGTTGCATCAACCAGAAGTGGAATGGGCTATGAAAGTCGGGATATGGAATACCTCTCATAGTCGATACGGGACACCTTCGCATGACTTGTCATCGCCCTCGCACCTGTATGCTAGACATCAAAGGTCGGGATGTACTTGGCATACCGTCTAACCCGTGCGTAGGCCATCATTTCAGTGACGCACATTACCCTGCCATCCGAAGCGCTAGCAGACCATCCATTCCCCCTGTATTGGGTTCAGTCCCAGCCGGCCCGGAGCGCTATAAGAACAAGCCTTGGACCATCCCTGACACGGCTTACGAGGTTACTGAAGACGCGACTTGAGCCTGTTCTGCAGCTAGCAAAGATTTTCTATAATCACAGTGGCTGTACAGCTTGAGCTCCATTGTGGCTGTGCGGCGCGTCACCGCCAGAGGGGGACTATCACCAGTTCCATATCGGTACCGATCACGACAGTCGAACTGGCAATCACGGCGGTTTTAATCGGTCGCAAGATAGTATCGTCACAGCTCGGTGCACTCTGTCCCTCGTACGCGTGAAGATGAGGGCTATGACGAGGATGTCGAACGAGATATCATTGGGATGCATGACCTGCCGCACCAGTAGCCATCAAGCACAGACCTAAGGCCTCAAGTGCCACAATCAAAACCACAGAGCCTGACTGGCTGGCGGAGGCTGAAATGCCGCAAATCCCCGTCACTCGGCTCAACGAGATATAGCCCAGCCAAAATTTGCGCAAACATCAGATGCCCCTTGGCTGAGTTGGTTACAGCAGTCGACTGTTAAACAGTCAATCCAATAGGATTACGCAACAATCGGAAGGTCGTGAGTTCGACCCTCACAGGGGCAGCATTTCTTTTTGCTTTTTCCCAGCCCGATCCGTGTCTTTTTGCCGCGGTTTTGCCTTTTTTTCTGAATCCTTGCACGACTGCCACACTCACGTTAGGCGTACGCTTTGATCCCAAGTGGAGCGGATGTCATCCCCACGTCAAGAACAGACGTAACACCGGAGCAGAGGAGATGTTAAGCGGACTATCCGGTCAAGCGCAAGGGTCAGAGCCCGTGCAGTCAATTTTGGAAGCTCAGGAGGCCACACGGGCGGGACACGGGGGTCAGTACAGGTGATATGTACCGCGAGCGGTCGTTGGACCCTTGGTGCCCGGTACGCTTCGTTGTGGGAACTCAGTAGAGAGACAGGAAAGGGACCGTGCACCATTACGCCGCGGAGCACCACAATATTGTATAGCTGGAACGATGCTAGCGCCCCGAAGACGAGGCTCGCTCCAGGCCAGTCAGGATCTCATTGGAACACTCTGCCAAGTAGATCCCCGCTTTGTATCGCAAAGCGGGCGAAGGCGCTAATTCAAGTGGCGGTAGATCAGGCAAGAACGACCGATCCGGCCGACAGGTCGCAGCGCGTGCGTTGCTCGCTTGTGCGTTATATCACAAGCTGAGCCAATGTCAAGAAAAAGGGCTGGCTTAGCACCAACGTGGCCCGCTGAACCCAGCCTCCAAGCGGTCTTTCGAGGCAATGATGGACATTGTGTCATCCTCACGCCTGGTCCATTAACAAGCACCCCGGCCTAGGCCATCCTTCGCAGCGCTGCGCCGCAGTCCTTTCGAGGAGGGGAGATTTGCCCGAAACCCCGGTGACAGGTTGTAGTAATGGACGACCCCGTCCGTGCATGATATGGTACAGTGTCTGACAAAGTGGAGTAACCGAGAGGAGATCGCAAGGTGCTGGCGGAAAGAGACGCTCTATCGGGCCTCGAATTGAACCTGATAAGGAAGGTCAGTAAACACAAGGGGCCATCAGACCGAGTATTGGTGGCTCACAACTGCGGAAGGGCGAGTCAGCAAAAGCCTCATAGAGCAGTGTACAGTACACCCAGGTGTCCTCAGGTATAACCACTCACTTCTGGTAGTACGGGGCTTATACAGCACCCTATGTCCGCATTCTCGACATCGAATAAGCTCGGACGTCTTCATCGCCGTCCTGGCACCACAGTCTGCGTAACGGTTAGCGGGTGGACCATAACGACCATGACAAGGGGATAGCAAGGCCTCCTGGGCCTGTCTCCATCCAGACCGCACCACCCCTTACGAATCCAGTTCACGAGACCATCCCACTCACCTCCGCACACATACTCGATGGTCTCTGGGGGCTTGGGGATCACCCGCGAAGGCATGGGGTTGGGATTTTGCTGAGTGTACTGCTGATCCTGCTGCGACATGGTGTGGATGCTAGTGAACTGAACGCGAGGGGGCAATGATGCTAGACCGGGATATGTAATCAGTCGATTCTGATAGTCAGAGAAAGCATCGTGTTGCAACAACAGAAATATCCAAAGACACGGTGGCAACGTGTCGTATCACACGGGCTCATTGAGGCGGGACATTATGCCACGTCACTCGAAGACCCCTTGCCCGGTTCGAGGGTATGTCGCAACCGGTAAGACCGTGTCATGAGCTGCGTTCATGTAGCTCTTTGGTATCACCATCCAGCACACCATGGATATCTCAGGAGCGCTGTCTGCCCTGGAGGCATTGTCATCGTCCACGTCCACATCGTCATCCGGTCCGCTCAACGCTCTGATTGACGAGCACTTTTCTCAAGCGAAGGAACGTATCCTGGCAGGGGAGGATGCCAAAGTCGTCATCACCGATCTTCATAAGGCCGTCAAGGCGAGTAAGAAGGACATAGAGAAGGGTCTGAAAGGGTGGTACGGGGCCTTGGGCAACGTTGGCAAAGCGGTGGACAAGGTGAGCTTGATGAGACGCTTGTCGCGCTAACGTGCGATAGGCATTCCCACCGAATCTCGGCGCGATCAGCAAGGCGTATGAAGACCCTCCCTTGTTCTCCGACGAGGCCGCTGCCAGGGCACTTGACCAGGTGGTACTTGACTCGCTCGGAAGGAGAGGACTGTGGGAAGCCGTATCGGCGATGGAAGAGGTATGTCCAGCGCCATCGGTGCGCGCACGGGCTGATGCGCTCGGCCAGGAGACGTTCCTGACCTATCCGGATGTACGGAGGCGCCTGGCGGAAGAGCTGCATCACGTTACGTCGCACATACTATCATCCGATCTCCAACCGGCTATAGTATGGTGCGAGCAGAACAAGGCGTGCCTATCGTCCCCTCCTCACCCTTCGGCACTGCCATACCATCTGCACAAGACAGTCTTTACCTCCATTGAGGACAGGAACGAAGCGATCGATTACGCCAGACGGAACATGATGGGCTATGTGCCCAGCCAGCCGGTGCTCAAGCTCCTCACAGCGAGCTTGTACAGGGGCAATCAAGCGCGATATTCGGCCATGCCAACTTCGGGTCCAGGGGAGGACGTCAGTATGACTGGTCGCAGCGACGAGCGCGCAGACGAGAAAGCAAAGAAGGGCGATCTGGAAGAACTGGTCCGAATGTTCAGGGAAGAATTCTGCCGCAGACACCAGTGGCCAAAGGAGGACCCACTGGAGGTCACGGTGGATCTTGGTTCGCGCGGTGGCGCGCTGAACGTCATCGAGAAGGCCAGAAGGGTCATGGGCGAACACCTGGGTCACGTCAGGCAGTGGCAGGATCTACCGGTGAGTCTGTGTCCGAACTGGTCTGGAGGCGCTTGGCTGAACCCCCTCCAGATGGAGGTGCCGCTTCCCCCTACCCGGCGGTACCACTCGGTCTTTGTCTGCCCTGTGAGCAAGGAGCAGGCAAGCGAGACTAATCCGCCAAAGATCCTCGCTTGTGGTCACGTGCTGGCGCAAGAGAGCTTCAACAGACTGCTAAAGGGAGGGTAAGTACCGTTCAAGCGGAACAAGTTCACGCTGACGTGTCTGCAGTCGCCGATCAGCCAAGTGTCCATATTGTCCCATCGAGACCTCGCAGTCTGTGGCGCAAAGGTTGTATTTCTGATACGTAGTCTAGACCCATTTGTATGGAACATGTAGCCTTCCCATACCCTCGATGAGACCGTTGTACCATGCAAACATGCAATGCAATGCACTATTATACACCAATCTGACAGTACAGCAGCCCGCAAGTCCGCATCGGCTCCGTGGCTCCGCGGCTACACTCCGCTAACCTTCTTGGCGCGCTCGCCGACCTTGACACCTTTTAATCCCTCCTGCTCCTCCTCTCCTCTGCCTCGCCCAGCCCATAGCTGCTTCCTCTCTTCCATCAGCGTCTCGGCCCACTTTTGCACTGCGGGGTGCTCCAGATGAGGTACCGATCCAACGAAGAAGGGCGACAGGCTTCGGACGTCTTGGCCTGGGAAGAGTCAGCCTGCTCAAGGCACAAACCTAACACTCACTTCGCTCGTACTCGACAGCCTGAAGAGCGAGTTCCAATCGATCAAGATCCTGTGAGGTGTCAGCGAGGCATTGAGGGCTTGACACTGGACCTACTTTTACGAGTTTTGATTCGGGTGTCTCCCGCGCTTCGTACTCCTGTGAGAAGTCAGCTTCGTTCCATGTGATCATGACTGTGGATGTGATCGACTCACATCCCACAGCGATCTGAACCGTTCCCTGGCATCCTTGTTGCCCTCACCACCCAGCATCTCGTTGAGGAAAGAATCCATGGCCTGTTCCTCAAGCTGATGCTTGACGTGGGCGGGAACGCCTTCCACGGGGGTGATGTCTCCCACGCTACAGCCATGTTAGCTGGGTCTGTACTGGACACCGCGTCTACCCACTGAGCCTCAGCCAGGTCGTGTACCAGCGCCATCTTTTACCCGATCGTCAGCCTCGCGCCAGCACCCCCAGAGCACATACCATGACACATCGAGGGATATCGAGGGGCCTATTCGCGTCGGTCGGGATCATCATAGCCATCAAGGCCATTCGGCACATATGGTCTGATATGCTGGGCAAGCGGATAGTGTTTAGCACCGTTGCTGTTGATCAGGACAAGCGCCTCACCTTTCGGCCTCCTTCACCTAGAAACGATCACAGTCAGCACCAGGCCAGTTACGACGGGGAGAGACTCACACCCTCCCGGATCCATCCTGACCGCTTCTGCACCTTGAGCTGCTCAAGAATGTGTAGAAAGGCAAGGGTATCAAGCGCTTCGTTGCCTGTGGACCTGGTGGGTTCTCGTCAGAGACAGCCAAGTAAGACTCAGGTTGTACTCACTTGTACTGAGGAGGGAGAGGCTTGCCCCCTGCTCCCACCAGGATCTGTTCGGCTGACGAGGCGCCATTGGTAGCGCCAGCGTTGGTCATCTTCTTTACCGTGTGATGGGTGTATCGACGACAGGAAAGCTAGCAGGCGTGTTACAGCGAAGTGAGGAGTGGTGATAGGGAAAGACACTAGACCGGACGGCCGAAGGTAAGATCCGATTACCGAAAGCAATCGAGTTGAGCAACCGCTGCGTGTCGAAACAAGTTGAACGAAAGATGTAACATCGATGATTTGTTTTGATCGACGCGACCGGCGCACGTGGATGAAGGTGAACTGGGCCAGTCACGTGACGTCAGTCCACCTCCTCATTACAGCCTACTATAGTGAACCGTTGTTGCTGCTCCTCTGCCTTTCGCATCTCATTCGCGATTGAGAGCCTGCGTAAGCTACAGAGGCAGCGTCAGAGGCGAAGCACGCTGGACTACCCGCCTTGATTCCCACAAGACAGCCTCGTGCGCCCATGAGTACCAGATGAGTCGCCGCATAGGGTACGCCACCTTGCAATCGTTAGCCAATGTCAAGCTGACGTGAGATTCCAGTCTGGCGAAACCTCATCCGCCACCTGTCGTTCCACCCGTCACGAAGGGTCATTCACAGTCGCAGGAATCTACTCAGCAGCCCTCCATCGAGATACGCCCCTCAACCCTGACTTTGGCCTTCAAACCACCCTCAAGGGC